GCCCTCCTCAGCGGTGAGGACGCGCGATGCCACCTTGATGAACAATCACGGGAAACATCAGAACAAAACACATACCACACACATAGGTCAGGATACGCGATGCCACCTTGATGAACAATAAACGAGCAACTACCAGAAAAATGACACCCATACATCATTGCTCAGGACACGCGAGAACACCCTCATGAACCATAACGGGAAACCCATCAGAACAAAAGCACATACTTTACACACATCATTGCTCAGGACACGCGAGGCCACCTTGATGAAAAATAAACATGAAACACATGCCGAAAGAAAGAACACGCAAAAACGGTTACTCAGGTCAACGCTATACACAAGCACGCCACACACACGAAGGCGCGCATGAGTTCTGCGAAACCTCAACAACCTCAACAACAACAACAACAACAACAACAACAACAACAACAACAACAACAACAACAACACCTCGTCCAAGAAGCCGACGAGATGCTTGCTATAGGCAAGAGGAAAAAGGACGACTAGAGTGAAGAAAATAAAGTAGGAGCACAAGTACAAGCCAGGGGCAAACAGAAACCAACCAGAACAACGCTGCGCTTAAACGCGCAGAACGGTGCACAGATCTGCTAAACGTCCAGGTCTTGAGTTTATCATTCTGGTCTTTGTACTGTTTATTTAGTCCCGCAAAGGCTTGCATTGCATCCTCTCAATGGAAATGGCGTCACCTTCCTTCACAAATAAGCCCCCGCACTTTCACTCATAAAGAAAGAAAGACCATTGAAAATAACAGTACAGTATCGCATAGAGGTCTGCTTTTAACCAATGGTATTTTTTTTGCTTTGTTTTTCTTCACTTCAAATCAGCGCTCAAGGCATGTGTCCCGTTCACTCCAACCCGTGGCCGCACAGAAGGTTTTCTCTCCCTGAGGCCCCCCTACCCACCCTCCTGCGGTACATACCTACTTTGCCTTCGATTACTAATGAGAGAAGAGTCCTGACAGGTACTCTCTTCCCTCAGTGCACACACGAACTAGCGCTTTCCACCCACCCCAGAAACGGAAGCGAGAGAAAAAACTCACTTTGCAAGAAAAGCTCGCTTACGCCGGGGTTCGAACCCCCGACCTTGGCCACTAGACTATCGGGGAGACCAATGGTATGCAATCACCTTTTCTGCCTCGATGAGCCGGAACTTGAGAGAGCTGTTCTCGGACTGGATGGGCATCAACCCTGCCTCAAGCTCGGATTTTTCCTTACCCAAGGTCACCACCTTGTTAGACGGAATTTGGTGACGGTCAAGAGGACACAGAGGGAAAATGACACAGGCAGATGGGTGGATGGTGACACGTATCTGTAGCGGAACGCCATCTACAAACGACACGCAGCGGAAACGCGCGAGTTTGTGGGGGCAAATAGCGGCAATACCAAAAGCCCCCGTTAGATCCAACAACGCTTTTCGAGTAGACCAATAGCGTCAGGCAATAAAAACAGTGCATAGGCATAAACAGACTCTAAATAAGCCAAATATCTACGCAGCCGTGTTTTTCTCCCACTCCCTGCTGTTAAGACTTCGTGATATCCCCTTCGACTACTGTGGTATTACTATAGTATCTCGAACGGGTAGTCTTTCCATAAAATCTTGCATACTTCCTAAGAAATGCCACAACAGAACGCGGAAGCAGCGGGTGGATATCATGTCTTCAGGCTTGCACGACGGATGTGATCATGACCGCCCTCGCTTTGTACGTACCGCCTCAATACCAGCGCGTGTAAAAATCAAGTACATTCAAACGCATGGTGCACAACAATCAATGACATGGGTACTGAGTTTTGCCGCTCACCCCCGTCTATATCGCCCTGTCTGGTGAATTGTCACCAACCATCGAGAGAGGTAACTCAAAACATGCAACCCTGCACAAGGCAGTGCCATGTAAGGCAGGTCGAAATACGGCAGGCCTATGTACATTGGTCGGGCTGGAACGCGAGCCGAAAGCGAACGGAGCCACGTGAGCCACACCAGGTCCTGATACACCCCCCAAAGCAGCCCTCTCACCCTCTCACGCGCGCTCGCTCTTGGTTCCATCAAAACTCAATACAAAACAACAAGTCTGCCCACCTTTGCCTCGGCTTGGTCTAGGGCGTTCTCCAGGCGCGTCTTCTCCCTGTCGGCCGCCACCGTCCTCTGCCAGAAGCTGGCCGCCGTCTTGCTCTCCCTCTGCTCGATCTCCCCCCTCAGCCGCCGAAGCTCCGCGTCCAGCGAGTGCCTTTCCTCCTCCATCTCGGACTTGCGCCTCTCCACCTCGCGGCACCTGTCCTCCGCGACCCTCGCGCTCCTCAGGTTCGCCTCCGACCTCGACACGAGCTCGCGCCGCTCCGACTCCCACGCCCTCTCCTTCGCCTGCAGCCTCTCCTCGAGCGGCGCCAGGGCCAGCGTGAGGTTGACCTGGTTTTGGAGTTGTTTCGTTTCGTTTCATGCCGTCGTTCGTCATCGTCATCGTCGTAGCAGTAGTTGTCTTTGCTTGTGTTTGACGCATCAGCCGGGGTCACACCGGAGGCAGGTCGCACAGGAAGGATCTAAAGAAGCCGAAACCAAACCATTAGACTAGTCAGTCAAATGTAGACTATTATAGTCAGTCAAATGGTTGATTTCGGCTTCCATATTCATAGTTTCTTGGAGTTTTTTGAAAACCCAATGGAAACAAGTGCAGGTATCTAGTTTACGCTTTTGCCGTGTTTGCTTGGGAGAGAATTGGCCGGGGTACAAACCCCGAACACCTCCGTCAGTCCACACAATCCCGACACGACACCGTCAAACTGTCGGCGCGTACACCACCCACGCTCCCGCCACACCGAACGCGCATCCCAACCATAAACTCAACGCATCGACCCTTCGGATCCTCCCCGTTTCAAAACACCCCCCCCTTTCTCCTCTTTAATTTGTTCAATGGCTATCATCTTGCCTTCTCCTGCTCCAGCGTGGACGTCCTCCCCTGAAGCTCCTTCAGCCGGTCCCGGACCTCGACCGAGAAACCGTTCTCGCCCGCCGGCATCTGCCCGCCGATGGCCCCGATGGCGCAGCCATGCTGGTGGTGGCACCCGCAGGCGGCGGAGGTTACCGTGACCGACGACTCTTCGCTGACCTCCTCCGACACCACGGAGCTCGGCTGGATGATGCACATTTGCGTGCCATCATACGTGTATTCCGAAGGGCGTGCAGGGGGGGGGGGGTACAAATCGGCGGTCACCCCCAAAAAATTTCCTGGCGCGCCTACATCCAAAAAAGGCGAGGGGGGGGGGGGGAAAACCCAAAAAAACAAAAA